ATGTACACCCGTGTTCACCACAGCACTGTTCACTATAGCAGCAAAATGGAAACAATCTAAATGCTCATCAGTGGAAAAATGGATAGATAAACTTTGGTACATACATGCAATGGAATACTACACATCTGTAGTATTCACATAAACATGTCTGGACCAAGATCCTCGGTGGCTTGACACTTAAATTCTACTAATCTCTCATGATGTGACATAAAATAAATTTCATCTACTCCCTGATGGCATTTGCTTGTGAGTAGTTTTGCAGTTGTAAGAAGTTTAGGGTAGAAATGCAACACCCTTAATTAGGTCACCTTCGTGATGCAATTGAAAGGATGTTTCCTCTAAGGTGTGGCATACTTCCTATAAAAATTGTCATTGTGAAAACCCTGTTTTTCTTTTTGTTGGGTTGGCATCCTTCATAAGGTTCATCAACTTATAGTTCTTTGGACTTGAGACTGTGGTCTGTCATGTTGCCTGTCAATTCGGGGAGCCATTAGCAGCCTGCTCTCTGCTCTGCCATCTGATCTACTGAGCTTCGGTTCATTCACATCTGCAGCCTGTGGTTTTCCTTTTGATTCTGGGTTCTGTAGTCCCTGAAGTGAGTGAAATTAGGAGAAGCCCCCTGATTAACATCTGACCCTCAGACATAAACCCGGACTGAAGTGTCTCACTTAGACAAATGTGTGGGCCATTTCTTGATATAAATTACTACATACACACACATATATAAATGTCACTCATATTGTTTCTTTACAAGACCCAGTCTAACACAGCAGAATAATGAGAAAACAGTGAAATATTTCAAGACACAGATGGATTAGGAGCACATTATGCTGATTGAAGTTAGCCAAACATAAAAGGACAGATATTGTATGAGACAATTGTTATTTAAAAAAATAAAGGGCTTTCATACCAAAGAAACAGACTTTGGTGAGGAAGGCGAGGAAACAATCTAGAGGATAGACAGGTGGTAACATAGATGAAGGGAAAGATAATATACAAGAGAGAGCTGGAGGGAAAGCCAAGAGAAGGAAATGGAGCAAGCCATTGGGAGGTTTAATAAGTTGTTCAAGTTGTTGAATGCAAAAATGATGGTCTGATATATAAACCCCCTCCTAATTCACACTTAAAAGCTGAGGAGTAGAAACAGATAGTGTGTTAGATTACACCCAAAATGTGATACTTGACAACCTCTGATATAAACAAACATAAATAAATAAAACAAACCGGAATCTCTGTGAGATAAATCAAATAACAGGAATAAGTCTTAATTTATATACAAAGTCAATATTCTTCGATGTCTTGTGTAAAGCAATCTGATATACAAATAGGTTACAATAGTTTGATCTCCATCAATTAGAAAGTTGAGTCATAATTTTAAACACAAAACCACCAGTTTCTATCAAGTTGATTCCATCTCATGGTGACCCCATGTGTGTCAGAAGCCCTAAGAAACATTTCTACTCTCCCAAATAGGGTCCCTATCACTCCGAATATACTTAATGGCAGTGAATTTTTTAGTATGTTGACCATTATTTCTAGAATCTAAGCATAATGTAGGGTCTTATGGAGTCCTGACTTTGAATAGTGATTATATTTTTGTTGAGTAATAAATCTACATATTTTTGCAAAAATGATGCTTAATTTTCTTCTTAAGAAGTAGGGAAGATAGTTTATTATGTTTGATATATTTTTATACACTAAGTGTTATTACTTGCCAGGTACTTAGAAACATTAGCACATTTCATTCTTACAGAAGAAGAAACAAAGGCATATATAGAACAAATAATATGCCCAACTTCACACAGCTCAGTAGCAAAGTATTGATTTGAATTCAGGTTTCTCTAATAACAATGGTCAGAGAGGAAAATATTGGAGGCAAGGACAGTGAATAGGTTAAGGTAGTAGAGGCAAATACTGCTTTATACACAATCCTGTAGTGAAAAGTAGATGTACGAATAGATGCTCAGGCTAAATAGGTTGGGCATATAGCCCAAATATATACATTTATATTTATATTTATGATAACTTCTTAGACAAAAACAACCACCTTAAGAAATGAGTCCCTGGGCCTTGTGGTTCAGGTCCTGGGGAAACCAAGGTCAGTTTGTTATAACATTGTCCACAAAGACAATGCTCTACATCCTACTTGGTGAGTAGTGATTGAAATTTTAAAAGCTGGCGAGTAGCCATATAAGGTGAAACTATTGGTCTTGTTCTGTCTGGAGTAAAGAAGAGTGATGAAAATTGAAGGCACGTGGAAACAATTAGTCTGATATCCTAATGCACCATAGGCCATCAGTCCGCATGACCCAGAGACCAGAAGAATTATATGTTACCCACTACTCTGCAAAAGATGACGTTCGAAGTTCCTGGAGAAAAATGTGGACCAAAACTCATAAAAGAGACTGAAATACTATCTGGATAGAAACTGGTGTAACCCCTGAGACTATATCCCTTAATCACCCTTTAAGAATTGTACTTATCCCATACAAGTCTGTAAAAGGAACAATAACACTAGTGAGGTAAGCACACCTTACAATAATCAACCAGTAAAGTTCAAAAGGGAAGCATTTACCCAAGGACAAGACTCAAAAGGGTTAGGAAAGGAGGAGGAATAGAAGCAGGAAGCACAGAGAATAAGTGGGGTAAGTGATGTGATGTTCTGGGAATTTCATGTAATAAGATAAAAAAAAAGGTGCACGAATTGTTGAATGGAAAACTGAACTGCTCTGTAAACATTCACTCAATTCACAATATGAACGTTTCAAAAGAAGAAGATGATGCTGGGAGCTACTTCCCGGAAATAGAATGACTGCAGATACCTTGTAAAAGATAAAGTAATGGAAGACACAAAGAAAATAGTGATGATAAACTAAAGATCTATTAAGATAATTTTACTTTCTGCAGAAAACACACAGTTTGTCTCAAGAAGGACCGAGCTTCTATCACCAGCAAAACCAATCACAGCAAATCACAGAGGAGAGACAAATAGTTATTGGCTTTTTGATTGTGTACTTCTTTTCTTTACAATCCATTTATCAGTTTTAGAGCGTACTGCTGCCAGGTGCACCCTTTCAAATTGCTCTCACAGTTAAAAAACAATTGCTATATAGCAGAGTTCAATTGTCTGCCACATCCCCCAACCCACCAAGTGTATATTGACAACTTAAACAGAAATGATTTAATTTAGGTAAACTCAGCTAAACTGAAACTTTTATTAAAAACCACATCAATACACTCAGCTTACCAAGGCAGAAAAAAAAAGCACGAGAATATAATTAAAACACCCAGTTGCAAAACTGGTGTTACAGAACTGGAACATCGACCCAAAGATCAGGAAAAAGACGAGTCCCATGAATCTAGCAGGTATCACACTTAATCAAGAACCATGATAACAGGGGGAAGGGTTGTTTGATACAGTGAAAAAGACATCAAATGAACAAACAAACAAAACTTACTACCATTGAGGAAAATTCAACTCTGAGTAACCCTGTAGGATTGAGGAAATGTTCCTCTGTGGGTTTCTGAGACTGTAAATCTTTGCAGGAGTAAAAAATGTCATGTGTTTCCCATGGAGATGCTAATGGTTTGGAACTACCGACCTTGTGATTAGTAGCCCAACGCATCACTTACTCCAGGAAAAAGACATAAATACACAAAATTACTTGCAGTGGTTATCTCTGGAAGGTTTAGGAGAGGGAGAAAGAGATTGCCATTTTAATTCTTTATACTTTTGAAAAGCATAAATATAAAACTTTTTTGAGAGTTATTTTAAAGTGCAATAAATAAAATGAGAAGGGTGTGCAGGAGAAATTAACTATCTGTGTAAATTCCTTGGGTGATCTATCGAACCTAGCATAGCTTAAATTTCATCCATCGTAAAATAGAAATTTTCGGAAATAATTTGCATATTTCTTCCATCAGTTAGCACTTATTGAAGATATTCTCTTTGGTGTTGTGAATAATCAGAGTTGATGGAGGACTCCAATGAAAGGATTTGGGTAATGTGTCTAGCACAGAGGAAGGACTCAATGACTGTCATTACTTTCCTTCCATTTCTCTTTTAGAAAGACAACACCGGTCTCAGCACTGGAGATTATTGAATGCAGAGCCGGCTTCTGGGCAGAGTCTAGCTGTGTGAAATCAATAGCACCAGGTTGGCTGGAGGAGAGGATTCCTGAGAGGCAAAGGGAAGTCACCAGAGCACATATACAGTAAGCACATCTATTCTCACAGCATTCTTACAGATTGGTATGCAAGCCTGAGTCTCCTTTTGATAGTTGAGAACTTGTCTTTTGGAATAGATTAACCTTTATTTCATCCCATCATAACGTATCTAGGCTTTTGAAGTATCTAATTTATTTGACCAAATCGTAGTTATATATGTGTAATTTTACAGATGAGGTGATAGTACCAAGTGAAAGTTTAATATTACAGAGGAGTACAAAGGTCTCTAAAACGTTAAAGAAAAAAACCCCCACACATTTTCTTCAAGGTTGATCTCATGGGAAATGTTCTTCAGGAAGGAGGGAGGGTTGTGCAAATAGAAGTAAACTCATAAGCAATCGATTTATTTAAAAAAAAAATAAGGTTGTTATGAGGAATCAACTGAAATGATTCCTTTAATGTGTCTGGCCCAGAATAATTGTGTCTGGCACACTGATTATTGTTAAACTGTCAGATTCAGTCCACTAAATCTGGTCATTTCATCAATTAACTTATGTTTCTGAAGGAAAGACTATTAGAAACATTTTTTGCAATCTCAGAGAAGCACGTGCTTGTGACTATTTTTCTTAAAAATAATTAACCCAATCACCTATAGACAATTACAATGAGATTCTATTAATCCCATTTTGCAGGGTATTGGAGCTAGAAATCTATGAGTGTAGAGTGATGTAATATATGGATCCGATATGGGATACAGGTAAATATTGTTGAGAAGTAAACTTTTAAGTGAACAATATTTCAGAAGGCCCAAAGTCTTTTCTTTTTTTTTTTTTCACTGTGCAACCCGCTTCAGAGCCTTAAAGCCACCGGGTAAAGCCAGGCAATTGTTTAGGGTGACAGTTTGCTTTGGCATGGGACACTGCGAGAGCCCCATGGGATCAGATCTGCCACAAATTCAAACCCATGCACCCAAAGTCTTAAAGAGAAATGAAATATTCTTACTATAGTTATCAAACTTTGATTAATAATGTTCTACTCAAATCAGAATACCTTAGTTTTCTGTCCCCATTATTCTGGTTCTATGAAAAATTACATTAACTAGTCATAAAATCTTGGACAACACATGAACTTGGGTTCCTCACTTATAAAACGAAAATAGTTCTCACTCGTCTAATTTATAGTGTGTTTGATGGAGTTTAAATGAGATAATTATGTTAATAGATTTGGAAGAGTGCAAAATACATTACAAAGGAGTACCCTTTAATTTCCCTTTATTTCTTTAAATCAAGACTTTTTTATGATTTTAGCATATATTACAATATATATCATAGACACGCATATATATATATATATATGTATGTATATATATATCCAAGCAGTATAGTATAAATATCATTGTACTTTCTCAAAACATTTAAAAACATGGTTTATAAATCATCCAGTGAAATTTCTTGAATTGCTTATCTGTGTCTATTTTGGGCTTCATTCATTGATTCACACTGATACAACGACAAGTTTCTGTAGTTATTTATTTGTTAAAGATAGTTAATGTGGCTTGTTTTAGATAATAAATCTTTTTGGTAAAGACATGCAAAATGTGCTTCATTAAATGACAAGTTCTGAAAAGTCACCTTGAGCTACTGTTATATGACAAAGCTAAAATTTTTTCAAGCATTTTTTATGGTAGAATTTCACATATACTACACATATTCTTCATTTAGGTAATTTCTACTATAATGAAAAGTATATTCTAGTAATGATATAAACTTTTTGCTTTTAACATAGACATGCTTTCAATACGTAATTCACACTCAAACATTAGGAACAAGTGTTTTTAGGAAACTAGATGTATCAACATAGTCTGTTTTTGTTTTGTATTATGTTTAATTCTAGGATGGTGTTTGCAGAAAAAGCTTAGCATCAATTTCTCTTACAAATTCAATTGTGTTGCCCCAAAATTTGTGTTGTAGGTCCTAACGTCTTTGTCCATGGTTTTGATTCCATTTGGGAATGGACCGTCTTTGCTAATGATGTAAGATTAATGTAGGGTTTATCTTGAATCAATCTCTTTTGACATATAAACTAGCTTAAATGCAAGCTAGAAACAGAGATAGGGAACCAGAAATGCCAAGCAACATGAAGATCTCCTAGGAGAAGGAGCTAAAAAAGAGCATAGGAAATTCTTCCAAAGAAGACAGTGAACGCATTGTCCTAGTGCCAGCACCTACCATGAATTTGGACTTCTACCCTCCTAAACTGTGAGAAAATTATTTGATACATCTTGAAACTACCCACTTGTCTTATCTCTGTTGTAGCAGCACTAGGTAACTAAGACAATCTCTTAGGATTCTTTATTCTCATTAACCCGGGGGCATTGGGAGATGTACATGCAATTTAAATTACTTGGTAAAAATGTACATGCCTTTCTTCTTTCATGCTATTAATCTTTGTATTATTTTTAACCAAAAAAAAGCCAAATTTCTGTGGTTGAGAGCAGCAAATTTTTATCATGACTTTTAAGTGAGTTGCAGTTAATGGTAAATCCCTTTTAAGCATGGGGTTGTTCCCTAACATAGAGGGAGGTGAGCCTTGAGAACAGACGGAGTGAGGAGAATTGCCTACATTTTTTCATGGTAAAACATGAGGTTCCTATTTTACCTAAGACTTTATCCATTCTACAACTAAGATTTTGTTTTTACTCTCTCAAATTTCCCTTAGTCTTCTAGAAGATACTGAATCCTGTTTTTCAGAACGATGTGACCATTTGATATCTCCTGAACTATTATGCAAATATAATCTACCAAACATAGAATCTTTGTATATTTAATACATACTTAAACATCTTCACAAAGAACCAGTTTAAGACTACTAAGCTTTCACATATTCAAAATTGGCATCATAGACACTTTGCCAAATTAGGCTGAAGTACGCAAATTAAAAACCACAAAAGAACAAGGCTGAAAGCAGAGATAATATCACAACTCCTCATTTATTTTACAGATGGCAAACTGCATCTAAGAGGTTCATCGACTTGCCAAGGTCACAGTCTACATCATTTCTTAAAACTGAAGATGTATCCTGTGATAGTAGAACATTTTGTAATGTAATACATGGCATGCTAATGACTGCTATTGCAGTTACACATGATGTATTTTTCTCTTTCATTTTCATTTTATAAAATATAAAAATAATCACAAGTATCTGTTCATTGTCAGAACACCCAGTCTACTGCTTTCGATCATAAGCATGAAATTGCATCCTTTTGATGTTTTGCTTTTCATGGCTGCAAAATGCAATTTCATTCAATGTCATGGATTCATTTGTCAGCAAGCATTTGAAACAATATTCTTGAAACTATAAGATAAGCATGAACTGGGAATGGAATTACAAAGTAGTAGATGCATTTCTCACTGCCACTGAAGAATTTGAATCTAGTGATAGAGAGAAGCGCATAGAAGCAATGATTTCAAAATAACGAAAAGTTGTATATCAACCTGTGCACACGATCATGCAGACTGATTGATGCGAGGGCTGAGAAAATGGAGAATAATGATGGGACCTGTGTAATATGGGGTTAATTAGGTAGTTTCCTGGAAGAGGTTAGATTTTAGCAAGATTATTAACGTAATGAAACGTTGACATTGAGCAATGAAGAGCACTCTCTTTAGAGAAATGACAACAGTGAAAATGTGGGGCTGAGAAAAGATGCCTGGGAAGGGAGAAAGGACATCTGTTCGGCGGTAACAGAGAACCCCTACCTGGAGCATAACAGCCTAAGAGAGTGCGTACTTGAGATTCATATGGAGGAGTGGTTTCTATGAAAGCTTAATTACAGGCTGAAGGATTTACATTTTATATAGTATGTACCAGGGCTTACCTCATGCCAAACATCGTGTTAATAACTACAAGCTTTGTCTAACTTAACCCTTATAACAATGCTATTAGAGAAGTTTTAATATAGTCCTCTACTCTGAATATAAGGAATCTCAAAGGAAATAAAGGACATCCTTCAATTCACACAGCTAGCAAGAGATAGAGACAAGCACCCAGACCCAAGCCTTCTGCCTCCAGACCCCTACAGAAAATTATCACATAGTTCTGTATAAGATGTTGATCAAGAGAAGAATATCGGGCAAATTATTGATAAGATATTGTCCTGGGAGTTTTGTGAAACCTAAACATAAAATAAAATTCATAATTTCAAACTATGTTGATCAATAATTAGTCACAATCATTTCTAAGCTACATGCAACTTTTCCTCTTAATGTATAAGGTGTAAATGAATGTTCTAGTGTGAGAGAAGCAAAATGAACATTTAAAGCTACCTGTTTGCTATTTCCAGCTGTGTTGAACAATGAAAACAATAAGCAAATTTCATTCTCTCCCTTGACAGCTTCTGTTGTCCTTTAATCTGATGAAGGAAGTCTAGCATTTGATGGAATTTCATTTGTGTATTTGTTCATGTATCTATTTAATTTTCATAGGAAGTCAAATACTAACTTGATAATTCATTTCCCTGTTTGGAGGTCTAGAAATATTATATATAAGTTAAAATAGGTCTTTTTTTCAGCATTTGCATGCTTCAAAAACCACAACTCTCAATGTTCAGTTAATTTCTACCTCAAAGAAGAATTGTAGATTAGGGCCAAATGAAGTTTACTTTTAATGTAACACATAGTGACGTTCACAACAGTTAGTGGAATGGTTATATGAGATGCATTTTTAAATCCTAAAAGCTTATGTGGATTACCATTGCTTGTGGCCACTGAATACATTTATATTGAGTGCTCACAATGAACTAGGTGATTTTGTTTAATTGGTTTGCTTTTCTCCACATAGATACTCAAGATATGCTAGCTTTTGTAAGATTATAGAAAAAGATAGGCTAGAAAATTGTATTTCTAGGCTCTCAGGTCCTAGACAATCTGGCTCCATTTATTTGAAATACCATATAAACTGCCACCAATTCTTCATTATCTGAACTCATTTTGGTGTTTTAGTAGTCAACTCCCTTTCCCCTGAGAGATTGATCCACAGTAAACATAAACTTTGCCCCTAGGCCTCAGGTGCCTCATTTGTCAAAGGAACTGTGTGAAGGGTCTTACAGATAGCTCCTCTGACTCTCTAAGAGAGTAGCACAACGGCTAAGGAGCCGCCAACATTCTCTAATCTATAAATGTCAATAGGATTGTATTACATTCTCAGTAGTCATTCTTCTAACTAACACATACAGTAACCATCTCCATCTACTTTGGGGTGAACAATGCAATGCACAAGTTGGAGGAAGCTCCCAAAGAAGGCAGTTTGAAGTTATTTTCTCAGAAGATTATATTGTTATCCCCACTGAAATTGTGACACAGAGAACCAATAAAGTGACAAAGAAAATTAGCATCTATTAAATTAATGTTTAGCCTAGTCTTAAAAACCAATCCAGGAAGGAAATTTCCATATTCTCTTCAGTAATCTCCTTGACAAATTGACCAAAAAGAGTGCCAAATATTTAGTCTTACTTGATACTGACTAAATTTTAGCCCGTTAAATTGTTACCTGTCTTCAATATCCTTACAGTACCTCATGTGCTTAAGTTAGCTATTTAGACCTATTTTTAGATGATGATCAAAGCTGTTGTTCAGAGAAAGACTTGGCTGACCTGGTATACTCAGAGATTTTGCAGGAGAACGCGAAAGGAGTCTGTAATGTTTGCCGGTACTAGAATTGACTGATCTAGTTCATTTCATTCCTGTCAACATGGAGTTTTTAAAAAATATCCATAGCATACAGGATATAACTGAAACAGATTAAACAGCCATTTAAAATTCTAGCACACGGAGGAACATTTTTAAGCTGTTCATTTTCCATGGTCTGGCTAGTTTCCGGAATTGGATTATCAAAGCAATGAGATCATTGTCCAGTTTTCTACTTTTATCTAGCTAAAATTGAATCTGAGCCATTTACATTTTTCAAAAC